TGTGTCTACGTTAATGCCCGTCAGATAAATATATTAGTCCCAGTCTAATGAACACATTACTGCCCATCAGGTAAATACATTAAAGTCATAGAGATCTACAGCACAGAAAAAGGTCCTTTAGCTCATTGCATCTGTGCTGGTCAAAATTAACCACCTAACTTTCTAATCCCATTTTCCAGCACTTGGCCATAGCCTCGTTTGCTTTGGCATCACAAGTGTACATCTAAATACTTCTTCATTGTGATGAGGGTTATTGCCTCTCCCACCCTAACAGGCAGTCAGTTCTGATCACCGTCTGGGTGAAAATGTTGTCCCTCATATCCCTTCGAAAACTTCTGTCCCTTATTTTTAATCTATGTCCCCTGCTCACTGATCCCTCCAACAAGGGGCAGGTTTCTTCCTGTCTACCTTCTTACCTACACCATCCTTACGGGCAGTGAGTTCTATTTTCCGATCAACAACTGGGTGAAAAAGCTTTTCCTCATATCATATCTAAACCTTCACTGATCCCTCCATCAAGGGGAATGTTTTTTCCCTGTCTATCCTATCTATGACCCTGATAATTTTATACATCTCAATCATGGCCCTATCTCAATCTCCTTTGCTCTAAGGAAAATAACCCCAGTCTAATCCAATCTCTCTTCACAAGTGAAACCCTCCAGCCCAGAAAACATTCTCGTCAACCTCCTCTGCCTCTTCTCTTGTTCAATCACATCCATCCTATCATGTGGATTCTCGAACTGCACACAATACCGGTGTCTGTCAAATAAAACATCAGTGTCAGTCAGGTGAAACATTAGTGCCAGTAAGGTGAACATATCAGTGCTAGTCGGTGGAACTTGTTGGTGACACTCAAGTAAACAGATCAGTGCCAGTCAGGTGAACACATTAGTGCCCACCACATGAACAATATAGTGCTCATCAGGTAAACAAACTAGTTACCATCAGGTGATTACAGTCTGTCAGCTGAACACACTGGTGCTCATCTGGTGAACACATTGGTGCCTATCAGTTATATGAATGTCTGTCAAATGTAGGCATTGGTCATAGAGGTATAGAGATATACAGCTTGGAAACAGACCTTTCAGTCCAACTCATCCATGCTGACCAGCTATCCAATATAAATCTAATGCCATTTGCCAGAATTTAGTCCATATCTGTCTAAACCCTTCCTATTCATTTACCTATCCAGATGCCTTTTCAATGTTGTAATCGTACCAGCCTCCACCACTTCTTCTGGCAGCTCATTCCATATACGCACCACCCACTGCATGAAAACCTTGCACTCTAGGCCCCTTTAACATCTTTCCCCTTGCACCTTAAACCTATGTCCTCTAGTTTTGGACTAACCCACCCCAGGGAAAAGACCATACCTATTTACCCTATCCATGCCCTTCATGATTTTATAAACCTCTATAAGGTCACCCCTCAGACTCTGACACTCCAGGGAAAATAGCCCCAGTCTATTCAGCCTCTCCCTATAGCTCAAACCCTCCAACCCTGGCAATATCCTTGTAAATCTTTTCTGAACCCTTTCTAGTTTCACAGCATCCTTCCGATGGCAGGGAGACCAGAATTGCATGCAATACTCCAAAAGTGGCTGAACCAATGTAGCAGATGATTGGAGGGTGGCAAATGTTCAAGAAAGGGAATAGGGATAACCCTGAGAACTACAGGCCAGTCAGTGTTACTTCTGTAGTGGGCAAATTATTAGAGAAGATTCTGAGAGACAGTATTTATGATTATTTGGAAAAACATAGAGAGAGAGATAGTCAGCATGGCTTTGGGAGGGGCAGGTCATGCCTCACAAGCCTTATTGAATTCTTTGAGGATGTGACAAAACACATTGATGAAGGTAGAGCAGTGGGATATGGTGTACATGGATTCTAGCAAGGCGTTTGATAAGGTTCCCCATGGTAGGCTCATTCAGAAAGTAAGGAGCTTGGGATTCAGGGAAATTTGGCTGTCTGGATACAGGATTGGCTATCCAATAGAAGACAGAGGGTGGTAATAGATGGAAAGTATTCAGCCTGGAGCTCGGTGACCAGTGGTGTTCCACAGGGATCTGTTCTGGGACCTCTGCTCTTTGTGATCTTTATAAATGACTTGGATGAGGAAGTGGAATGGTGGGTTACTAAGCTTATTAATGGCATGAAGGCTGGTGGAGTTGTGAATAGCATGGAGGGCTGTTGTAGGTTGCAATGAGGCATTGACAGAATGCAGAGCTGGGCAAAGAACTGGCGTTCAACCCGGAAAAGTGTGAAGTGATTCATTTTGGAAAGTCGAATTTAAATGCAGAATACAGGGTTAATGGCAGGATTCTCGGCTGTTTGGAGGAACAGTGGGATCTTGGGGTCCACATCCTCAAAATTGCCACCCAAGTTGGTAGGGTTGTTAAGAAGGTATATGGTGTGTTGGCTTTCATTGGCAGGGGGATTGAGTTTAAGAGCCGCGAGGTTATGCTGCAGCTCTATAAAACCATGATTAGACCACGCTTGGAATATTGTGTTTAGTTCTGGTCGCCTCATTATAGGAAGGATGTGGAAGCTTTAGAGAGGGTGCAGAGGAGATTTACCAGGATGCTGCCTGGACTGGAGGGAAGGTCTTATGAGGAAAGGTTGAGGGAGCTAGGGCTTTTCTCATTGGAGCGAAAAAGGATGGGAGGTGACTTGATAGAGGTGTACAAGATGATGAGAGGCATAGATAGAGTGGATAGCCAGAGACTTTTTCCCAGGGCAGAAATGGCTATCACGAGGGGGCATAATTTTAAGCTGATTGGAGAAAGGTATAGGGGAGATGTCAGAGGTAGGTTCTTTACACAGAGAGTGGTGGGTGTGTGGAATGTACTGCCAGCATGGTAGTGGAGTCGGATACATTAGGGACATTTAAGCGACTCTTGGATAGGCACATGGATGATAGTAAAATGAAGGGTATGCATGTTAGTTTGATCTTAGAGTCAGATAGTAGGTCAGCACAACATTGTGGGCTGAAGGGCCTGTACTGTTCTATGTTCTATGTTCAATGTCTTGTACAGCCACAACATGGCCTCCCAACTCCTATACTTAATGCACAGACCAATAAAAGCAAGAACACCAAATGTCTTCTTCACTGTCCTATCTACCTGTGACTCCACTTTCAAGGAACTGCGAACTTGCACTCTCTTTGTTCAGCAACACTCCTCAGGACCTTACCATTAAATGTACAAGTCCTGCCCTGATTTGCCTTTCCAAAATGCAGCACCTCACATTTATCCAAATTAAACTCCATCTGCCACTCATTGGCCCATTGGCCCATCTGATCAACGTCTTGTTCTACTCTGAGGTAACCTTCTTCGTTGTCCACCACAACTCCAATTTGAGAGTCATCTGCAAACTTATTACCTCCTATATTTACATCCAAATCACTTATATAAATGACAAAAAGTAGTGGACCCAGTGGTGTCAATCAACTGATCACATTGGTGCCAATCCAATCACGATATCAGTGCCCGTCAGGTGAATACTTGAGTGCCCATCGGGTAAACATAATATTGCCAATCCAGTGTCTCCATTTCGGCCCATCACGTGAACACATTGAGCTCATCAGATGAACACATCAGTCAGGTGAACTCAGTCTCACCCATTAGGTGAATAAAGCAGTACCATCAGATAAACATATTACTTCCAATCATGCGAACACAGTAGTGCTCATCAAGTGAACACATCAGTGCCAACCCATTGAACACCTCTGCCCCTGCTAAGTAAACATATTAATGATGATCAGGTGAACATAATAGTGCTCATCAGGTAAACTTATTACTGCCCATTCGGTGTTTACATTAGTGCCCATCATATGATTTCATTGGTGCTCATCAGCTGTCTACATTAATGCCCGTCAATGGTCATATTAATGCCCAAACAGGTGAATACATCAGTACCCATCAGATGACTATATCACAACCCGTCAGAACTATGCACCCCAGGGAACACATAGAGTACCTGTTATATAAACAATCAGTTCTCAACAGTCCTCTATATGAATGCCAGGCAGGTAAATGTTCAGTGCCTGTCAGGTGAATACATTGGTGCCCATTGGGTGAATACATTGGTGCTTGTCAGGTAAATGCATTAGTGCCTGTCAGATGAATACATTACTGCCAGTCCTATGGACCTATCAGTGCCTGTTAGGTGAATACATCAGTACTCATCAGGGGAATACATTCATGCCAGTCAAGTGAACACAACAGTAGTATTCACACATCTATGCCTGACTGTTAAAGGCATTAGTGCCCGTCATGTGGCCATGAAAGTGCCCATCAGGTAAAGACAAAAGCACACATCAGGCAAATTCATAACTGCCCATTAGGTGCCTACATTAATGCCTGTCAGGTAAATATATTAATGCCAATCTAGTGTTCATATTAGTGTCAGTCCGGGGAGCACATCATTGTTGATCTGGTGAACACACTGGTTCCAGTCAGATGTGTTGGATACACAGAGTGACCGCAGTTTTCACCTCTATGTGACGGAATCTTTGTGGTGAATTGGCTGCCGACAATCCTTGCCGGCTCATTTACTCATGTGCTGCTGGAGCAGAGCACTGCAGCAATGGAAGTTCCAGAGGGTGATATTTAGTGAAGGTCAGAGTGGGGCTGAACTTCAATGTGTGGTGGGTGTGAGTGGGGTTGGAGGCCAGAGGAATGACTTGGCATTCCACTTTCCACACTCCCATGCTGAAAGGAGACACGGGGAAAAGACCCTGTGTTGGGAATTCTGCCCCCAAATTCCCAGCTCCAATTCCATGGGTAAAGTGCAATTACAACCCACGTCACCGCTGTTGTTCAGCCACTCCCACCTGAAAGAATCTCAACACCAAGGCCTCTACCGATTACCAAACAGGACTCATGCTGAATTACATACACTTTTGGAGAAACCCTTCCATTTTCAGATCCTGATTTATAAACAGTGCGTTACAAGAAAGTGACACCTTTCCACACAAGGGAGAAAACTTGACACACTCACACTTGACTGTCAGCTCGTAGCTGGCGCTGGCTTCGCTGATTGGGTTCCGTACAAAACATGTGTATGTGCCAGAGTCTGATTTCTGTGCATTTTTGATAACCAATGTCGTGTTATCATCGATCAATGTGTATCGGTTATTATGAGCAGCAAATCCTGAGATGAGCCATGTGACAGACTGGATACTCTTTGATGTTGAACAGGTCAATGCAATAATACTGTTCTCCAGGGTGGAATTACTGCTTAGTTGAGGCTCTGCAAGGTGATCTGGAACGAGATGAAACAGAAATTTTTAGTATGAAGGAGAAAGTGAAATATATGAGGACCTTTTGCATGTATATCCTGTATCTGTGCTGGACAATAAAGACAAACATAGCATGGCTTCTATTACACTGGGAGATGAATGATGGGACTTTTGGGAAGGAAAGCTCAGTGACAGCAATGACTGAATGAGGCTTGGACTGATTTCTGAAACACATAAAACACAGATTCTGGGGGATGAAGGAGAGGGAGAGCAGGGTGAAGAAGGTAGAGAAAGGGGTGAAGGAGGGGAAGAGCAGGGTGAAGGAGGGGGAGAGCGGGGTGAACGTGGGGGAGACGGGGGTGAAGGTGGGGGAGAGTGGGG